ATTTCAGTTTTGTTCTAGGTGCAATGAGAAGCCACTGAAGGATCTTAGGTGGGGAGATGCGATGGTGTGGATGTCTACAAAGGATCCCTATGGATGGTGTGCACAGAATGAACTTCAGCGGGGCAAGGCTGGATGCAGAGGGATCAGTGAAGAGGCTGGATGAGAGTGGGTGTGTCACAGGTGATCATGATGATGACAGCTCACATCTGTCAACCCCTGAGTGTGCCAGGCACTGTTTTAAGCACACTCCAAATATTAATTTATTTCCTCACCATAATCCTATGATACATTTGCAGATGAAGAAATGAGGCACAGAAAAGTGAAGTAACTATCCAAGGGTACAGGAATTGGTGGAGCTGTGATTTATCAACAGCCTTTAGCCTGAGCACCTACACTCTAAATCACAACACTACGTTAACAGAACATAGATGAACTCAAGGTACAATGTGAAGATAGAATGGACAGACCTTGGTCTGTGTTTCATGGATGTGGCACATGAATGTCATGAATCCCTCCCTAGTTTCTGGCTTTAGGAGATGAAAGAGGTGCCATTTACTAAAATGAGGCCAGTCCCTAGAGAAACAGGATCTGGGACAAAGTTCAAGATTTTTTTTTTTTTTTGTGGATGGCCATGAGATAGGAGGTGCTCCGTTTCCCTGAGTTAGGGTTTCAAGCCACTCCCCCAAGGCCTCAGGCCCCTCCTCTAGGCCCTATCCTAGAGGAAAGTTACTGTTGCTTGTTGGACATATTTTTGGCACCAACAGGGAAAGTGAGACCACAAGGGGCTGGCTTATGCAGGTACACTGGCTGGGCATGCTCAGTAAAGAGGAGTTCTATAACCCTCGTAGCAGAACATGCTCAATAAAGTGGAATTTAGCTTTTGAATGACCTTCCACTAGAAGTGCTAAAAAGCACAGAATATTCTTGAATATGTCTGGCACATGTGATAGAATTTGATCTATGAACATGAACATGCTCTAAAAGAGACCAACTGAGCATGTGCAAGACTATCTTACATAACTGGGAACCACCCCCTTAACTGAATGTTCACTAGGTAGCATGAATATGTACTAGACAGCAAAACTATAAAAACTGAATCCTGGCAAAAGGCAGGGCTGCTGCTCACTCTCCTAGAGCCTGCCTGTGCTATCTGTGGAGCGTGTATTTCTTTCTTTTTGTATCAAGCTTACTTTCAGCAAGCAGCTGCTCACTCTCTTGAGCCAGCCTGCACTCTGTACTAAACTTTAAGTGTGTATTTCTTACTTTTATATTAGATTTGGTGTGGGCCCTGCTCAGTCTCTAGAGTTAGACCATAATTTCTCTGTGGAATACGTATCTCATTCATTACATTAAACCTGTCCTCACTTTCCGCTGTGACTCTGCTCTTGAATCTTTCCTGTGGCAGAGTCAAGAACCTGGTAAAAGGATGGGGTGGAGTTATGGCCGACTATCAGTCCTCCCCAGGCCCCCTCCAGCATCAGCCAGGACAGGGATTTGAACCCTTGACCAGGGTGTTATAACACCACACTCTAACCAACTGAGCTAACTGGCCAACCCAAGAATTCACTTTTTATGTATCAAGCTGGTCAAGAGATCAGGGTTGAAGATACAAATCTGGGGATTGTGGTGGTCAAAATAATGGCTCCCCAAAGATGTCCATATCCTAATCTCTGGAACCTGCGAATATGTCACCATACAATGCAAAAGGGACTGTGCAGATGTGATTAAGTTAAAAATCTTGAAATGGGGAGATTATCCTGTATTATCTGGGTGGGACCAATGTAATCATAAGGGTCCTCTCAGAAGGGAGGGAGGAGGTTCAGAGCCAGAGAGACTGGAAGATGTCGTATTGCTGGCTTTGAAGATAGAAGATTGGGCCTTGAGTCGAGGAATGCAAGTGGGTCTCTGGAAGCCAGAAAAGGCAAGCAAACAGATTCTTTCCTAGAGCCTTTTGAAGGAACACAGCCATGCTGATACCTTGATTTTAGGACTTCTAACCTCCAGAACTATAAGAGAACAAACCTGCACTGTTTAAGCCACTAAGTTTGTAGGAATTCGTTATACGAGCAATAGCAAACTAATACAGAAATTTTAAGTTAGAATTTAAAGTTTCATGGTATTGAAAGTGTAGGTGAAGAAAGCAATAACTAAACAAAAGTCTCCTTGAGAAGGCACAGGAGATGCATATCACAATAAATGAGAAAGGGATGGCCTTAAAGGGAGACATTTCCTCTTCTGTAACAGAGGTGACGGAGGAAGTGGGAATTGAGGCCAGTGTGTACACACACCGCAGTGGGAAGATGAAGTCATTCCCAATTTTGATGGCTTTTATGAACCCAATGAATTATGTGGCTAGGTCAACAGCAGGTCACAATTTGAAATGAGGGCATCTTCTTCTTGATTTTAATGCAGTTTCTACATTGTACCAAATGATTCTCAAGATTTGTAGTAGGAAATAGTAGGAGTGGCCACAGAAAGGCTACTATGTTCAGGCAATATAACAAAAGTCAGGCGGGCCATTCAAGGCGAGGAGGAGCTCATGCCTGGCCTCGGTCTCTCCCTTCATTTCCTATGGCCATGGCAGAATGTGCCGATTAGCCTAGGCACTTGGACTCAACCAGGATCCTTCTCAACACAGCAATCCAAGAGGAGCAGATATCACAAACCAATCTGAATTGGTACTTGAGATGAAATTTACCTGCCAATCCTGACCTAGGGACTGTAGTTCTTTTTATTACCTCCTCCCAGAGGAGATGACTGTAGAGATGATTGTTAAAATATGACTGAGCAGCAGAAAGATAACAGTAGCTGCTAAATGTCTATCAAGACAACAGTGATTGGGGCTGGCCGGTTAACTCAGTTTGTTAGAGCATGGTGCTAATAACACCAAGATCTCGGGTTCAATGCCTGGACTGGCCAGCCACCGAAAAAAGAGAGAGAGAGAGAATGACTAAGGAAACTGTGGTACAATTGTATCATGGACTTTTTAATGCAACCTTTAAAAAGAATGAGCTAGAGCTGTAATACTGAATGGAATGATTTCCAGGACAAGTTATTACATGAAAAAGCAGGTCCAGAACAATTATACAGGTACTTCTATTCACTATTACAAAAATAAATAAATATGTATACAAGCACCTATATACATGTGAATACTTAAAAATTTCTGGAAGAGAGTCTATCAGGCTGTTAATAAGAATCTCTGAGGAAGAGTGAATGATTAATTAGGATAAGGGGTGAAGGGTGAATTTCCTGTTTTTGTTTTGCAGCTGGCCGGTACAGGGATTTAACCCTGAACCTTGGTGTTATCAGCACCATGCTCTAATCAACTGAGCTCACTGGCCAGCCTTCAGTGAGTTCTGTGTATATTTTTATATTGTTTATAACAAGCAGTTTTAAATGAAAATGAAAAAAAATTTTTTAAAGAACATAGAAGATGAGCAGCTGAAGTACCTGGACTCTTTTATATTCAGACCTCTATGTATTTGTCCTATAATCCTTCTGGCAATTTTCCTTTTTGGACTTTTCCTTTCACAGAGAAGGAACACACGAGACAACAAAGCACAGGGTCAATGTGCAGTAAATGTCAGCAGTCTTAAATGTCACACACCCTCCCTTCTTCCCTCCCTCAGTTATGTTAAAAACTTCCTTTACCTGTCACTCATTCCACCGCTTTCAAATCCTACCTTGACTTCCTCTTTCCAGTATGAGTCACTCTTTCCACAAATCCCATACTTAATCAATAACACTATCATTATAATCTTTCTCTAATTATTCCCAAATCTGGCTATTAAAATTACTTTTTCCCCTTCTTCTAGCTCTATCACACCTCTACTGAAAATGTTCCTACTTATATAATGTTTCTTCTCTCCAGAAGTCTATATTCCACCCACATCACTTTCCCTGTGCTACATTATCAGACCATTTTCTTTAACTTCCTTCACTGAATCTTTGGTGCTCATTTCTACCACCTGGCACCATGCTTCCTCTCTTCCATTTCCTACTATGAATTTGATCCTTCACGTCCTGTACACCAAGGTTTCCTGCTTCCATGGTCAGGTTTTCTGAAACCCAGTAATTGCACATGTTCACCTATTACATAATCACTTAATTTCCTTCCATAAAATAATTAATTTTTCTCAGTCTCTCTGATCTCCAACCACTCCTTCCATGTCCCTTCACCTTCCCCTCCCCCCACCTCAAAAATTCTAAAGTAAATTCCTTAAAGTTCAAACTACTTAGCATCCTTCCCAAGTCACCCTCAACTCTCCACATACATCTCCCATTTTCTAGTATTGAGGATGTCCCAGGCACTGTTCTAAGCACTAATTAAACTATTTGAACTCATTTAATCCTTACACAACCTGCTGAAATGGATCCTATAATTAGCCCATTTTAACTATATGTAAACTGAGCACCAGAGAGTTTATGGAACTTGCCCCGGGTCACAGAGCTGTTTTGCGACAGCAGCTGGGGAGTCCATGCTTGCTGCAGGTATGTCACACTGTCCTTCAGCGTGTTTTTCTGAAGCAAAGTTAAACAATTCCTTTTCTCTGCTGCAGTTACCAGGGGTCTCACCTCTACTTTGGCACTTATCATACAGTGCTCTAACCAGGTGTTACTTATCTGCATCCTTTACTCCAACACCTGTCTCAGGACAGAAATTGTCCATCTCTCTCCTCAGAATGCGTGATAGCACCTGGCAGGAGATATTCAATAAATGGTCACTGAATAAAGGAATAAATCAAATGTGTGCAGTTTTAACAGCACTACAATCCTAGCATAGCATACACCTGATACAGGCAGACTCTGGTGAATTTCATTCCAAACTTTCAGGCTCCTGCCTTAATGACATGACACAAAAAATAAGTAGCCTGAAGAGCTACACTGATACATCTCTGTTTATTCTGGGAAACTCAAGGTGACATCCACTTTAAGATGACATTCAGGTGGTGGACTCTAAATCACCAACAACACAGATGGAAGGATTTTGGAGTTACCTGACAACGCATCATAGAACTCGTCCTCACTAAGGATGCTGAGAGGTGGGGATCCTTTAACCAGAGACTGCTCTAATTCATGATGTTCAGTAGCTAGAGTCTCCAGGGCTTCTGACAAAATTTTGTTTTTTTCTTGCTCCTGTTCCAATTTAAAATTCCTCACCTAGAAGAAAACAGATATATAAAAAAGACTTCAGAGTGACAGGAGACACAGACTTACTCAGAGGATGTGAGAATTATTTGCTTTTGATCTAGTTCAATTGCAACATCAGAAATGAAAACAGCTGTGTTACATACACATGGATGAATGAGCAAATCTACTAAGCTAATTTTGTTCTTCCCATGGGGCCTTTTCTCACAACAGCTTAGCTAATGAAAATAGATTAAGAATTAGCAAACAAACTCAGCTCAAATGATCAGGATCCTAGCATGAAGTACTTCGAAAAGTTCATGGAAAAATAAAATTAAAAGACAACACAAAAATCTTTCCCTAAACTTTCTGAAGTATCCTGTATAAAAACCCTTAGTTAATTCAGAAATAATATAAAAAAAATTTTTTTAAATAGAGAATACTTCTTTCTTAACAATCACAAAATTAAGAAACTAGTTTTGGCAAGTTTTTTAAAATAAAATAAAGAATTAAAACCATTCTAAATACTAAATGTGTATCATATCAAAGCATAAGATATAATGTGCCAAAATAGTTGGTATATTAAATGAAGGGAAACAAATTGCTCGGTAATGACTATAAACATTTAAATTTCCCCTTTTCAATTCTAATTTTGGTTTCGGTTCCATATTTTACCATTAATTTAGTACACACACACAAAAAAAAAGATTACAGAAAAGGCAAAACCTGGTTTGATTTTTCAACCTTTGAAGTGTCTCCTATCAGATTCAGGAACATCCAAACCTTTTCAGATGGCTTAAACGCTCTAAAATTCCAGTAACCTGATCCTCATATAATTGCATGTACTGGATTTAGTACAACAGTTTCATCTGTTCTTGTATCAGGACCTCAGAAATCAATATTATGCCTTAATCTTACATGATTTCTAGAGCCAACAAGGCACTGTATACAGGAGCCAGAAAAGTTGGGATCCATTGGTAGCAACCGTGTATCCTCAGAAATCTCTTATTCCTTGTTTTTCTCTCCTATAAGAGGGTTCTACCATCACCTAATAATCTAATCGGTAGTCTTCACCACAATGGCCTTCAAACTTTTTCACGTTAGCAACAGAACCTATTTCTCAAATAAGATCACAACATATAAACTCGATGTTTTAGAAAGCAGAAGGGCCAGGTGATGCTGGGTGTGGACTAGGAGCCCTGCCTGCCTCTCCCTCTTCTCCCTGAGGTCCACACAAGGTCCAAACCCAGGCACTATGCGGACAGTGTGAAGAGCCTTGGGGGGTGCCTCCGGAACCTCCTCCACGTCAAGCTTCCCACCTCTGGCCCGTGGGAGCAGCAGAACTTGTTCATGTCTGCACCGCTTGCTCTGCTGAGCCAACCCTTTCACTCCTGCCACTCCCAACTGCCCCCTCCCCACTGCCCCCAAGGATGACGCTTCTCTTTCTCCATTCTGACTCCAGAGCCCTCTGTGACCCTGAATTCCAGATGGCTGCACATCAGGTACAAAACTCCAAGAGTCCTGGACACAACCTAAGATACAGTTTTACTGAAATGCTAAGTTTATAGCATAAACAGGGTTAAACCTTGATTATCTTGAGAACAGTTCGAGTCCGCAGGCACCTTCATGTTTATCATTACAGCATTGAGATTATTATTATTATTATTAGAGCTGTGATAATGAATAAAATAGCAATAAATGGAAAGCAATCAGATCAACATATAATCACTTGAAAATAAATGTTAAACTTTTTATTAGGAAAAATTTAAGGACTGAACCACTACATATTTAACAGTAAACATACACATTGCCCTGTGTCTGTAGCCCCTTAAAGACTAATAAAAACTAAGTCTTTCCAGTAGTCTGTCTCCTCAAACCACTTCAATATGGCAGTCTTTCATTTTTACTTTATTTCATGCTAAAAGGTGAAATTCACAGTGAATACTTCCGAAGTGAATGGATGCCAGCAAAAGAATCCAGAGTTTTAAAAACAGGCATGTGCTACCCAGCTCAAACACATTTTATCTAGTCTCTCATGCTATACAGTGTCCTGTTATTTACCTATGTTTCACAGAGGTTAAATGAGGCAGGGATAATAATTAAATATGGCAAAGGCACATCACTAAATGGGGAAATAGTAATTAGTATTCACAGAACACTATGCAATTATCAATTATAAAACAGGTGAAATTTTGGTCTTGATGGTCAATCTGGTTGGTGTAGCTCTTTCAACTAGCCACACTCGCAGCTCAAACACATTTTATCTAGTCTCTCATGCTATACAGTGTCCTGTTATTTACCTATGTTTCACAGAGGTTAAATGAGGCAGAGATAATAATTAAATATGGCAAAGGCACATCACTAAATGGGGAAATAGTAATTAGTATTCACAGAACACTATGCAATTATCAATTATAAAATAGGTGAAATTTTGGTCTTGATGGTCAATCTGGTTGGTGTAGCTCTTTCAACTAGCCACACTCTGGTCAATTCAACAGCAACAGCTTCACTCGTTTCTTGTTATTGCATGTGTGGAAACAATAACAAAGAATGTATTAGCTTGAGACTGAAATATTAGAACTTGAATTAGAAACTTATCTAGTTTTATCTCTCAATTAAGGAACAACAGTGACATTTATTTCTGTTATTACAGGACCAACAATATTCTCATTTCAAAAACTTGTTTCAAGATACGTCCTTTAGGTGACTCACTGCTAAGGCCATACAGCTGTTAAAAAGTGTGGTTCTGATCACTGAAGCTGATAAGAGCTCTTCTGCCCACAAGGCCAATTACTACACCAACAAGGTGGAGGAGGACAGAGCTCCCACATGAATGCAAATGGCCAATGTTACCTCCAAATCCACAACCAGGCTGGATCACACTCTCAGGGTCCAGAGAAATTAAGCTTTGACCCCATGTTTAAGGCTTGATCAAGTATGGAAATACATCCTCATGAAAGGACAGTATGTGCTTGCTTTGTTTTACAGATTTACTAAGCCCAGAGAAATTAAGCTTTGACCCCATGTTTAAGGCTTGATCAAGCATGGAAATACATCCTCATGAAAGGACAGTATGTGCTTGCTTTGTTTTACAGATTTACTAAGCACCTTTGCATACATCGAATTTCAGGGTTTCCGCTGGCTCTAATATCCTCCTTCTCTGCCATCCCATCACTGCTTTTTCAAATGTAAAAAATTTCCTTATGTTCGCGAAACCCTTTTTTTCAGTTCTTCCTCCACTAAACAATAACACTCAATTAAGAATAAATACTTAAGAATGGATTGAGAATTAAAAATAAATCTGCCTCAGGGACCAAGGCAGCACTATCTGATAGAAGAAACTGAGATGACGTGAGGACTGCATGGAAGAAACTGAGATGACGTGAGGACTGCATGGACGGGGCGGGGACTGCACAGAGCTTACAGCCACATGAGAATTCTGGCTTTGATGATGAGTGAATGGGAAGCCACTGGAGGGGCAGGAGTACCATTACTTGATTTATGTTTTAATATGATCCCCCTGGCAATATGCCAAAGAAGAGACCTGGGGGGAGGTCAAGAATAGAATAAAAAGATCTTTTAAGAGGCTACTGTAACAATTTGGAATAAGAGGTGGGTAATAGCAATGGAAGTGTTGATAAGTGATCAGACTCTGGATCTGTTTTGAAGGAAGGCCTAAGTGGCTTGCTGACAGACTGACTATGTGATGTAGGAGAGAAGAGGAATCAAGGATGACTCCATAGTTTTAGCCTGAAAAAGAGTGATCATTAATTACCTAACATGGGAAAGACCGCAGGAGGAACAGGGACAATCAGGAACTCAGCTTTATATATGGTGAGTGTGAGACGCTCTCCGACATCCAAGTGGAGATGTCAAGTAGGCGATTAGATATCAAATCAGGGATTCAAGAAAGAAGAGGTCCAGGATGGAAATCATATTTTAAATCATAAGACTTGATAGGATCACTAAGGGAGAAAGAGATAGAAATGAGAAGAAATCCAGAGACTGAACCCTAGTAGGAGAGATGAGAAAGAACCAGCAAAGGAAATCAAAAAAGAAGAGAGGACAGACAGGTAAAAGGAAAATCCGGGGTGTGTCGTATCCTGGAAGCCTCAAAGAGTTATTTCAAGGAGGAAAAAGTGATTAACTATCAAATACTGATAACAGATCAAATAATATGAGAACTAAGAAAAGACCACTGGATTTGGTGATGTGGACATCCAGGGTGAACTTGACAAGGGCACTTTCAGTGTTGTATTGAGAGGATGCTAGAGGCAAAGATCTGACTGGAGTGGGTCGAGAGATGAGAACATAGCCCATTCTTAAGAAGTTTTGCTCAAAAGGGAAGGAGAAAATTGGGGCAATTGCTGGAAGGGGTTATGGGGGTCAGTAAGATTTTATTACGCAAGACAACCCAACCTTTTCCATTATAGGAAAGGTTCGATAGAGAGAGGGAAATTAATAATGTAGGAATGAGAGAGGAAAATTGCTGGAATGATGTTCTTGAGTTTGGAAAAAGGGATGGGATCTAATCCACAAGTGTACGGTTGGCCTTTGCTAAGGGCTCAGACTGTTCATCATGAGGAGCAGGAGAAAAGGCAGTATGTGTTTGCAGAGATTCAGATAGGTGGGTATGTGAAACGAAGTTTTCTTCTAATTGCTTCCGTTGTCTCAGTGCATGCAAGGAATACAGAGAACAGGAAACAGACAAAGAGGTCATCAACCTGTTGGTCCCAGCATGTGATGTAGTAAGAAGCCTCCAGTCTCTTGACATTTTACATAACACAAAAGAAGTTCACCCTGAGACTAAAGATGAGATGAGTCCCAAGACCCTACACTGCCTCACTCATGTTAACCTGGTCAACCCAACATATGGTGGCTTTCAAGCATTTTCCCTTTGCTTACAGCCAGCCAATTGTGACTGGCTTCTGGCACTATTTTAAAAATATCCCTTTCTTACAGGCATTGCCATTTTCTTCAGTTTGGGTCAAGCCAAAAGAAAAGGAAAACCCCATTCAGAATTATGTACCTCT